AAATATATGTTATATGTAATAATAAAAAGCACTTAAGTAACGTATGTATCAATAGCGATGATAGATGGTCACGGTCCAACAATTATACTCTCGTGCACGAACAAATTGATCCGACTAGAATAGCAATGTATCAGACGTGTTATGTAAGATGTTTAATATTTTTAAATATTTTAACATTTGAGTCACAAAACTGTGATTGATAAAAGACTGAAAATGCAAAAAATATTGTAAGAACAGATATTACACAAATAACTGTGTTCAAAGATACACAATTTAAAATAAGAAATTTGCTTAAACGTATAAAACAACGTATTAAATTTAAGTTATTTTACATTAACCTGTTAAATGGAGGGACAAGAAAATAAATTATATACATTATCTTGCATGAGACTTATATTAAAATACATTATTAAACTCATGAACAAAATATATAATATAAATATCAAGAACTAGCTAACTGCCTGAAAGCCACACTAGACAAGTTTGACAAGATTGAAACAATTTTTACGTGTTTTTTTTTAATCTGAAGGCAGTGATCATGCATATCTTTTCGTTTTCATTAGTTAAACCGCACATAAAAAGTGCTAAAGTGTTTAAATTAATATCCATTCCTATAAGGAATTAACATCCTACAAGCTAATAACTTTCTTCTCTTTGTGAAACATACTCAGTGTTCAAAAAGTACTATTTGGTAGTCGTTTTACTGTATCGAAAATTAACTACTATAAACATAATCGAAAAATGTAAAATATACATGGTTTATATATTACATTTTACAATGCTTTAGATAAGAAAATATTTAAAAGAAAACTATTAACTTAGTATTCAGAGAAACAACAAAATTGTAAATACATAAATTTCTTTTAAAGCTATGTGACCAGTTCTACGCAACAAAGGATCAAATAACTTAAGTAAAGAATGAAAGAATTTTATATCCTTATTTTATACTACCTATATAAAAACTTATGTATTAAAATTATGCGTAATATTAATAGCCGTTGTTTAATAGCGCGCGACATGGTAACTAATCTACCGTTTAAAATATCATTTCAGCTATCTAAAAGCTTGTTCTTCCAAGTTTTCGTCTTCGGGTTATTATTTTTGTTATTTTGAGATATTCACATTGCGACATAACTTGCTCCTCTCTTCAGTTATGTCAATGGCAATTTTGTTAATAAAAGGATGTCTGATCTTGCCGTTGATAGCAACGAAGAACTCGTCCAGCTCTCCCGGAATGTTGTCTCTTTTTTCGTATTCGTACGCTTGCATTAACAAGTCTAGTCTATCTAAGTCTTTTACATACTGTGCCTCGGGAGATTCCTGTTTTTCATATTCCTAAAACATGAAAAATACAGAGAAAATATTAATAAGAAATAATACATCAGAAGTTAGAATAACATAAAGATACTCGAAGTACTTGTAGTATATCTCTTACACGAAATATTTGAAGTATTTCAGGTCCCTTATCACCTAGCAGCTTACAAATGTCCTCCATAGCTTCATCTTCCATTCTGTGTTTTACGTCCGGTGGTATGCCACAGTAAGGTGTTATATCTCCCACGATACATTCAGCTAGGTCGTGAATTAACGTCATCTGCATTATTCTGCAAATCATCGATTATATATTTATATATCAATATCATAATTAATCAACTTCGTAAAATTATAAAATTTCAGGAAAGTCTCCTTTTATTATGACATAGGATCCTAATATGGGATAAATTAATGGGCATCATCGGTTGATTCCACCGTGAATTTATTGCCCTTGGAGCAAAATCTGTTTAGTGGAAAATTCATTGTTAGATTGTGTAATCGTTGCGAAAAGAGATTTGTAATTGAATTTAGATGCTGAAAACTTACTATCTCATATTAGAAACCTATCTAATAACACAGGACGTTCCTCTATAATAATAATGACTCACTTGGTTTTGTCTAAATTTTCTTTCCCGTCCACCAAAAACGACAACATCGCCATTCGATACATATGTCCAGCAATTGTCTCAGGATCAGGTATATTCCGTTTTACCCATCCAGTCCTTTTCATATGCTACAAAACAGAACAATAAACAAAAACATATTTAGACGGAAATACATAAAAAGGAAATTATTTTCCGGAATTCCACGAAATACACGCCAAATTTAAAAATTCAACCGCCAGCGAATATTTAACTAATTCAGGTGAGTAGTAATTCGATACAATTGGCAACAGGAAAACTTGCTTTATTGGCACAACGTTTCGGCCATGGGTTTTGGCCCTTATCAAGTGCAACCTAACAAATTCAAACGGCGAATGGCATGTGATCAAATGCCATCGGGCACCAATTCAAATTATCCATACGCAGACATTATATCCCATAAAGCACCAAAGCTTTCAGAAACATTTCAGAAAACATTGTTGCAATGTTGCAAAGTTTCTGAAATGTTTCTGAAAACTTTAGTGCTAATGTTGCAATGTTGCAATGTTTCTTTGGTGCTGTTGTTGAAATGTTGCAATGTTTCTGAAAGCTTTGGTGCTGTATGGGATCGCTCTATAAACGTGTCATCGCTGTAAAAATGCGGAAATGAGACTAACTCAGTAACTCGATAAGAGCTAAAACCCATGACCGAAGCGTTGTGCCAGTAGGGGAGGTTTTCCTGTTGCCAGTTGTATGGGATCAATGAGATACGTCTCTTGACATAAAGAAAGCTGTAAAAAAACAGTCAAAAAATTACGTTAGACTATCAGTAATTTTAGATAAAAATAATAGAAGAACTGATAACGACTCTTGCATTTTTTTTGCTTAATTTTTTCATGCACTATTACTTTGTTATTTCTCAAAGCTCTTAAAAATATATCTTGGAATTCAAGACCTGAAACAGAACCTTACAGTCGCATAAGTAGGAAGTATGTCGAAAATCAATGGAACGAGGGGAAAAATCGCTGACCAAAATCTTGTGCACCAATGCCCACTAATGCCCAGTGGGCATTACTTGATTTTGTTTCATCTTATTTACCTCGTTTTATCTTATCTAATTTTATCTTTATAATGCCCCAGCAAGGCCTAATGCCCAAACTAATGCCCAAAAAATGCCCACTAATGCCTAGTAATGCCGCAAATATGTAACACCACAGTGCCCTCGGCGATTTCCCCCCTCACAATGGAACGATCAAACAAAGATGTCGTTACAGAACCACGTTGGTTCAGTAGGAACGCATAATTTCTAATCTAATCTATTCTAATCAATCTAATTCTAATCTAATCTAATCACAATTTCTAATCTAACAATTCAACCCATTTAATCGCATCGCATTTATCAGTGTATTGACTAGGATTTAATAAACAAAGGAAATTATCAACATCAAATTTGGTTGACCATATCTGGCAATTTTAATGATTGAGTATCGCGACGTTTCGACCATGGGTTTTGGTCCTTTTCTAGCGATCGTGACTGAGGTAGTCATGTACAAAGACTCGCTTGTATTACGGTGGTGTTGAAAGAATAGTCGTTATAATGAAAAAAATGTTAAACACATTTTTATGTCAGTGTTGGCTGTACGAGAACTTTGCTTGAGCACTAACAGAGCATGACTAGGAAATTATATCGTAGCTGATTCATCTGCTTCACGACTGCAATGTAGAAGTTCAAATCGCAAGTTTCTTGCGACTTGCGACAATACGGACGTGCCAGCGATTGCTTGCAACTTAATGTAGAACGACCTTAAGACTTCTCGGCATCTTTACCGTTGAAATAAAGGACATGGCAACATCTTTGTCATACTAACTTGCAAGGAACAAAAAGCAATACAACGGGCCAGAAACTGTTGATTGGCCTTAACATTCAAAGGTCAAACGCGTATACCTTCGTACATATATTTACACCCAAATAGCGCTAAATATTCTAGAATCCTGGAGGTACGTAGGATGTCCAGGGATCTGTCTCAGGGTATCCTGGACTGGAACATTCCGGGCGCTGTATCCCAGTGAGAAACGATTCGTCCAAGCGACGTTCGACGATGAAATCGACATTCGACGTCGATTTGACATCAATTTGACGGTTTCGACATCAACTGACGAGTCATTTCTCGCTGGGTAGCAGCACATAGAATGCTCCAACGTGTCGGTGTCGACTCGACAACATTTCGACACCGTTTCAACATCAATTGACGAATCTCGCTGGGATGGGCATCTGAATCTCTGCAAGGCCAAACGTTGCAAGTGTCATATTTTGTGTATCAGACGAGCGCAGCGTGTCTCCCCACCTATCTCTCCGCTTTGCACTCATTTCTGCATTCCTGCCGGTGACGACTCGGGCCGAGGACAACGTATCGCAGTGTAGGAATGCAAGCTAATGTTGCCCGATACAATTCCTGACGACCCTGATCATGAGAAAAGAAATTACACGCACTCCGCAGCAAGTTCTATAGTCTTCGTTCGCCTTCGGTCATGATTCATCGTGAAACAATGCTGACACACAGGCCGGTGCTCATAGTCCGTTCTTATATCTAATTGTAAGATCATCCTAAGTACACATTTAATATGCTTCGAACAAATCACAGAGCCGTGTTAGCCTCCTAAGACAACACTTAAGATAATTTTGAAATGAGAGTCGACTACGAATACCGGCCACAGTCAGGTTAACAAAGAAGAGGGAGAAAGGAAAGCGATCTCATTGGCACAAATGTCATCAAGCAGCAACACGAGACGTTGTCTTACATAAGTATCTGTTGTTTTTTTTTTTCTTCATTCGTTATTTTGGACACGCAGGTACCGTCCTACTTTCCTTACCTCCCTCGTGATCGCCGTGGAAGGTCTCCGAAATAATTATTCTGGCACTTTGCACGGTATCCCGTGTCCAACGGCCGGAGGTCACTTGCGAAACGTGCAAATGCTTCCCAGGCTTTGACAGCTGCGAGCGCGTCGCCGCGAGATTTACCTTCAGCCGGCCGACCAGCTCCATGAACTCCTGCAATCTCTTTGTGTCTTCCATCGCGATCGGAATTGCTGTCGCCGCCTGGTATCGCCGTCAATCGTACGGAATTAGCCCCCGGTTGAACCTGAACCACCAACGACCGCGATTCTCTCACGACTCCGCAAGACGACTGATCACGACTGGTCACGAACTGACCGAAAAAAAATCGAGCGGGAACTCGGGACTATCGGGAAACATAAAACGGTCATTGCTGTCAACTTCTT